GCTGCTAAAATGTATCATTTTCAATGTTCATTTAGAGAGTCCTTAAAATGCATACAGTTTATTTGACAGACCATGAGATATAGTTCACATCCACTTTAGGAGCTTTTTATCTCGATGTACAGTGGCTGCTCAGTATTGACAGTCTGTGTAGAACTGTCCTCAGCTAGAATAGCACCATCAAGCTGCATCACACTAAGGACAGGCAGTCATTTGTTCATTCACATCTCTTCACAGGATGATACTCTCGTAGTCTCAGATGTGTACAAATATGTGTTTTCCTCATGGTGCCACAATAGATCAGCCAATAAGAACAGAAAAGCAAACTCTCATAAAACTTGAACTATAAAATAATGGAATTGGAAAGAAAGAAAGTCAAAGTGCCATTTTAATTTGACAAAATCCTCAGACAATCAAGTACACCCTGAACCAATGTTATGTACAGAAATGTTTGTGAAAAATGGTGGAACATTTTAAAAATGCCTATGGTGGTATAGAAATCTAACGCAGCAAGACACTCTGAAAAAAAAGCAGGAGTAAGAAATCACCTTTATATCAATTTTTACGTAACCATTCTTTGCATAGCAAAGGGTTTGGAACTAGAAGGAATTACTCAAAAAACTTGGCATTTCCTTTGATACTGTGATCCATCTTTTTGTTTCTTCTTTTAATTTTACTCTTCTTTCCAATTTTTCTGTTTCTGTGAAGTAGTGAACATTCAAAAGGGTTTACAGATTTTAAAAAATATTTTTAAAATATTAAAAGAATGTTAAGATTCAGGGCCTTGATTGCTAACCTGATCTAGTTTGGATGTTTTCAGCTTTTCAGCTGCATCTTGACTTGTGACAGGGAAGACTTTATTGAAGAAGACACAGTGTTATGAGGATATAGCTTCTTTTGCCAGCAACAGGATACTTGTGCTGACACACTCAAGATGTCCCTAAGCCTTTCTCCATACTTGTCTTTGCCTCATCCTTTTGTAAGATCCTCTGTAATGAAACAATTTTTTTAACTTTCCCTAGGACCTCATCTTTTTTTATTAGGGAGCATGGTAGTGTTTGGTACATTTGATTTCCTTTGTCAGCCTGCTGAAATTGCTAGACAATTGAAATTTATTGATTGATGAGGTGATAAAATGATGACTAGAAAGATAAAACCTGAGAGATAGTAGCTGAGTTAGAGAAATAAAGTTCAGAAGTGACTTTGTTTTTAATTGAAACATAAATTTGAGAAACAGGATTATGAGATTTCATTTCTACAAATGCTTATGGTTGTGAGTTTGAAGAGGCAAAAGCTCTCTGTATTGACCCTTTCTGGGCTGATATGGCCCATTGTGTAAAGGTCTATTTAAGTAATCTAAGGGCAGTAAAGACTCAGTGGGGAGGACCAGCTATAATGCAAAGCAGAGAAGAAGAGGAAGAAATCATCCTTGATTTCCAGTGAGATAGTATACTACTGAAAGGATCAGTATACTGTCAATCGCATTCCTACAATGTTTACACAGGAAAAGCAAAACTTTTTCTCAGAAGTTTATTGACTAAATTTTCCATGATTTAAAGATGCAAAGAGGTTTGACCTATAAGAATTAAAAAAATATGATGGTTATAGTAAAATTGATCACCTGGCCTCAAATGGAAAGGGAAAAAGATTTATAGAAACTTGTTTTCTTTCAGGAAGTGTTTATCATTATAGCTTCAAAAATCTAAAGATGTGAGTAGCAATAAAAAAAGACAAAACTAAAAATGCAAAGGATTAAGGGTTCATTTTGTTTGCTTTCTGATTCTTAAAAGACATGATCTTTTAAGTACATTTTTCTACCACTGAAATATCTACTGAAATTTCTACCACAGAATATCTTGGATTGAAATGAACACTATCTTTTCAAGTATTAACATGGCTTAGGACCCTTTTATTCCAAGAAGACAAGAGCCTCTAAATTAATTTCAAGAAATCACAAGTAACAGAATCATTAAAAATACGACATTAAAAAAAAAATTAAAAATTTGATGAAGAAAAATCAAAGAGAAACAAATTCGTAGTAACAGTAATTGAGTCTGTCAAGCTCAGAATATCCTCTGTAAATCACTGGAGCAGTCAAAAACTTGATCAGCTCATCCCTGAACTCCCAGATATGCTCATTTCTTACTTTATTTTGCAAGTTGACTACTCTAAACAGCTCTAGATTAACTTGGAGCAATGAGTCTATTGCACATGCATAATAGCCCCAAAGGAAGGATGTGGTATTGTTATCAACCACTCGAAGCCTCCAGATCTAAAACACGTAACTGCCCCCAGGCCTTTTCAGAAAGCACAGTACAGTTAGCTAGTTACACAGCATATTCAGCTTTTCTTGTGAATGGCAAATGTAAAGTTTTCATGATATGAACTCATCAAATTTTGGCACACTTTTATTTTTCATTGATACTCATGTAAATATCCTGAATTTCCCATGTGTATTTGCATTGTATTTAAATCTCTGATGTGCAGAAACTTTAAAAGGTAAACACTATTTGTTGAAAACAGAATAATAGACTGGTATAAACTTGGTGGAATCATTTTATAACCATGTCCTAAGAGGCTAAAAACAGCGCCGAAATATCCTGACAGACTTACTTCTTATACATTAACAATGCTGACATTAAATCAAAGTAAAAAAAAACAAACCAAAAAAACAAACCAAACCAGAAAGCACATTTTCCCTGCAAAAAGTCCCACAAAATGTAAATCTGTAAAAAATAATGCCTTATTTTTACTGTTTGAAAAATTGCTTTAAGCTTCAATGTACCAGAAAGAGATTCTTACAAGTATATTTCGGTTGCTCATTGGATGACCAAGGTTACCCTGTTCTCCCTCCAGTCATTAAAAGAGCACTGGGCATTGATAGGGTACCAATTGCCCTGTGCCATAGTGCCACCATGCAAAATTTGAGGGGAAAATAGTAAGATCTTGATTTGGCACTTAATTTCCTTGGAGTTTTTTCTAAGTTCATTGGCTAGTAAAGCAATTTAAGACTTATGAGAAAGGATTCCTACCACCATTATTTGTAGACCTCCTAATTTTTGGCCCATTTTTTCAGCCAGAAGAGTATCATGGAAAGCAAAGTTTATCCTTTGATGCAAATGGTGAAAAGTTTGAACCCTTATTGAGACAAAAAATGCAATAACAGTTTAAGTATACTCAATTTTTACCGTACAGGCCACAAAAGGCTACTACAAATGAGGGACAGCAAAGAGAAAAAGTAATATTTTCTGAAGGGCAAAATAAGAATTTCGTGTGCCTTTTGTTTCTTCTGTTCCACATACAACACAGATTGAAAGCTTTGACTTCTATCACTATTGACTCCTATTTTATAGCTAACTTTTCAATTAAATGTTACAATTTCTTTTAAAAATGGATAAAAATCTTAGTCATAAGGAGATCAATATTAGTGAAGCATAAAGAATCCTGATGCAAGTGACTCCAAGTTCCCGTTAATATCATCAGAATAAAGCTACCATGAGAAATACAGACACCTGAGAAGAATATCTTACAAGGCTGTAGATTTCTCTCGGAAAATAAAGTGAAACTAGAAACACAATCCAATATATAATGTTATTTTAAACACTTTTCTTCTCACTATATATCAGTGTGAAAATTCCCCAGTTGTGATGGAGATAATGAGTTGCAACCTTTTGTTTATGAATGATTAGTCATTTTTTTAGCCATTTGTCCACTTTTTTTCCTTTTTTAAAAAGATTTTCAATGTTAAAAACCATGATCTGTTAAAAATCTATTAATTAAATTACTAGTTTTGAATTCAGTTGCAGCAGTAGGTTGTCAATATGCACTTTTCCCGAAGGTTACAAAAATAATTCCGTTGCAAATTCTTCTGAAAACAGGCAGAATACAATGGTTGTGCAGCTATGAGATAGATATAGATGTAGCTGGTCTTCATCTATCTGAGTGTACTCCAAACCTAGAAGTCTGGAGAAATTAATGTGAAGATGGTTTCTCTGTACTTCTGTTTGGGCTGTCTTTTACCCATGAGGTAATTTCTGGAGATTGTACAGTAAAGATCACAAAGTACAGTGTCACCTGAACACTGCTCTACTGTTTCCTGAGCCAAAATGTGTGTTTGTATGGTACATATCACATTGGCATAAGCTTGGAATTTGTTCAGCAGTATTTACAGCTGCCCTAGATATACTACAGGACAGTATTTAAAGATTTGGTAAATAAAATATCACTCATTCTGTACCAAGGAGAAAATCACTCATAATCTGGTACATAATTCTCATTTTAGCACATTGTCTTGATTCTTAGATTTAGTTTTTACCAGAGTTCCATGTTCCTGCACAGTTTTCACGATTCTGACTTGAAAAGATAGAAGCTACAGCAACAAATGGAAAAAAGATACAAAACTATTCATAATCTTCTCCCTCGCTTGTGAAACATCCATCAAAATCAGATAAGATAGACTGACTTTTGGTACTGTTTTAATGTGTCCTTACCACATTGCCTTATGTTAGGTGAATTGGTTTCTGCAGGTTGCTCTAAAGAATGAGATGGATTGTTTAAACAGGAGTCTTAGAGATGAAAGAGAATTCTCAGTATCAAATAATAAAATAAATATTATGATAAAACAAACAGGCAATCACCCTAAAGTTCATACACTTTTTATTGAAATAACTTTCATACATGACACTAATCTCTGTCAACCTAATTATTTACATTTTTTTCATTGCTCTGACAGTGGTTATATGCTATTGGGTATAGATATTCTTCTTGCTATCACAATGTAAGGAAATAACTTTTGTCCAAAAAAAATGTTTTCTCTAAAGAAAACAATGTACTGCACAAATAAAGAACTGCTCAGAACTAAAATTGCAATGGTCATTTGCATTTGTGATTGTGAAACAGATTTTTTTTGAATTGAGGGAGCAGTGAGATAGAACTTGCAATTGAAAAAAGCCTGAAAACTGTTGATTAAAAAAACCCAAAAAAACCCATTTCAGTAGACTTACCTGTTTAACTCTTAAAAGTCCAACACTTCCTCTTTACTCCACAAATCTTTTAGCCAGGGTGAAGTCAAAATACAGCACTTGATCATAATAATCCCAGCCTCTCATGGACAACAGCATCTCTCATGGCACCATACTCAGAATGCTTGAAACAGACCTGGAAAACACAGATATTCTTACATTTTTATAGAAATATATTCAACCATGTCTTAGTATAAGGAAACACGAGCACTTACTCAATGACTACATTATAAAGTAGTATAAAACCATGAACATCACCTGGTAAACAAGATGGGGACTGAAAAGCTCATGTTCCAGAAAATATATTTTAGCTGAGTATATACAATTCTGTTGCACTTATTGACCCATTGAAACTGTCAGAAATAAGAAAGAGTATTTATATTTTTAAAATAAATTTCAGATTTTCTGACATAGACCAGTCTTTTCTCATTTGAATTTCAAAATTAATATCTTCCGCTGAACCAAACAGAATTTTGTCTGAGAAAGGTCATGAAAAAGTTTCAATACAATTATAGTTATTTGTTCCATGAGAGCTTTTCTTAGTATCATTTTGTTCAATAACTTTAATGGAAAATTGTAACATCCAACTGTATGATGCAATGCAGACCCATACCAATAGCACACTCTTTGCTTTACTAAGTAAAGAATTCAGGTGGCATGTTGAAAGATGGTTGTAATATTTATCTAGAACTCTGCTTCTGTGTACTTGTAATATTTCTTGAAAAAATTTGCTACCGGTACCTGTCAGTAATTCACAGAATCACTGAATCACTTCTGCTGCTCATCATTCACTAATGAGGAATGCTCCCTAGAAAAATGCTTTTGGAGTCACTGGAGTCAGTCAGTACTGGGCACTTTTTAAACACCACCTACTAAGGGCACAGTAACAGCCAATTCCAAAATGTCGGAAGTCAAACAAGCAGGATAAAATGCCAGCCTGCCTGACAGAGATCTTCTCTGGGAGATAAGACAAGAAAAAGGAAGGTGTATGTGGCAGCAACATCAGGTGATGTGGGAGGAATACAGAAAAAAATGCTTACCACTGTAGGGAGAAAATTAATTCAAAAATAGTTATAGAGCGAGCTTATTTCATCAAAAAGCCTCTCTTGATGATTTTTCGAATCATCTTGGGAATCTGGAGAGGTCCCACCTGACAGGAATCTGAGGAATGTTGTTCTAATTTTTAAAAGGGATACAAAATGAGCCTGGAAAATACAGGCCTGTCAATCTTACTTCACTGCTTGGTAAGGTTATAGAGAAGATTATTTGGAGAAATTGAAAAACTGAATGACACCTGAATGACAGCACAGCCACCAGCATGGCTTCTTGAGGGGAAAGTCCTTCTTGTCAAACCTTTTTTTCTTTTTATGACAAGGTAACCCACCTAGCTGAAGTGGGTTGATACAATCTTTTTGAATTTCAATAAAGCTTTTGTGTCTCACAAAAATCTCCCAGCATCCAGCTGGATAAACACATCATGAGATAAGTGAACAATCACAGGTCTGGTTGTCTTGCTCACAGGTCAGTCACAAAGGGTTACAGTGAATATGGTGGCATCAGACTGAGAAACTGTCACTGGTGGCCTTCCACAGAGCTCCATTCTCAGCCCTGTGCTCTTAAAAATCTTCATTAGCTATGTTGACACAGGACTGGAAGCAATTAAAAATAAATTTGCAGTTGATACAAAACTGGGAGAGGCTGCTGACTCTCTCTAAGGCAGGGAGACCCTGCAGAGTGACCAGACAAATAAGATGGCTGGCCAGTAATCAACAGTACAAAGTTCAACAAGTGCCCAATTCTGCACATGGGACAGGGCAATCATGGGTGTATGTACACACTGGGGAATGAGATGCTGGAAAGCAGTGCCATGGCAAGTGCCAATCCAATCCCATGGACCTGGGATTCCTGGTCAATGACAAGTTGAACATGGTTCAGCAGTGCCCTGGCAGCCAGGAGTGCCACCTGTGTCCTGGGGTGCATCAGGCACAGCATCACAGCCGGGCAAGGGAGGCATTGTCCTGCTCTGCTCTGTACTGCTCTGGGGGCAGGTCTCACCTCGAGTGCTGGGAGCAGGTCTGGGTGCCATAGTATAAGATATAAAAGGAATTAGAGAGTGTCCAAAGAAGGGCATGAGGATGGTGAAGGCCCTTGAGGTGAAGCCATATGAGGAGTGGCTGAGGTCACTTGGTCTGTTCAGCCTGGAGGACACTGAGGGGGGACCTCACTGCAGTTACAGCTTCCTTGTGAGGGGAAGAGGAGGGGCAGCACTGATCTCTTCTCTGTGGTGACAGGACCCAAGGGAATGACCAGAAGTTGAGTCAGGGCAGTTTTAGGTTGGGTATCAGGAAAAGGTTCTTCACCCAGAGGGTATTTGGGCATAGGAACAGGCTCCTCAGGGAAGTGGTGAGAGCACCAGGCCTGACAGAGCTCGAGAAGCATTTATACAGTGTTCTTAGGCACATGGTGTATCTCTTGGGAATGTCATGTGCAGGGCCAGGAGCTGGACTTTGAGAATCCTTGTGGGACCCTTCCAACCTGGCATATTCTGTTATTTTTGGATTTATATTGGAAAAAACCTCTAAGATCATTGAATCCAAACTTTGACTGATCTAGACCATACCTCTAAGTACCATGTCCAGTCATTCCTAGAATGCCTGCAGGAATGGTGGCTCCACCACCACCCCAGGCAGACAATTCCAATGTTTACCAACCCCTTCCATGCCATCCAACTTGAACCTTACCTGGAGCTATTCAAGGCTGTGTCCTCTTGTCCTGTCACTAGTTTCCTGGGATAAGAGGCCAAGCCCTATCTTTACACTGTCTCCTTCATGTATTTTGTAGAGAACTGTAAGGTCTCTCCTCAGCTTTCATTTCTCCCTAAACAACCCCTACCCTCTCAGTCACTTCTCACACAACTTAGAGTTCAAGTGGACATTTCTGCTACATTCTAGTTTTTTGCTTTTTTTTAGAGTCTAAGCTACAGTGTACCTACCTCTTTCACTAAAAGGATGAATAATTTAGATGAGATGAGTTTACTTAATAAAGCTATTTCACCATCTGTCCTCTGTTGCTGAAATGTTTAGACCAATGAACAAATATCATGGAGATTACCAAATGGTGCTCAGATAATGGTAAATTCATTCAGCAGATACACTGATCTATGCTTCGCTTAAGCTACCCAAGCTGCTATTTCAGTCCCTTTTGAAGTTTAAAGAGCACTGCTTCTAAACATCTCAAAAATTCTACATGTTCTCCTTCCAAAAGTGATGGATATGGTTTTTAATAGAGAGCAGGAAAACATGTTCACAGAGGTGTTAGTTCAATGCATATGTATGTAAGATAAAAAGAAAACATGCTATCTCAAAACATTAAGAAATATCTGAAAGAAAATTACAATAAAATTAGCTTTGCAAAATGTTTCAGAAACTAACATATTTTATATATATACATATATATATATATATATATATAATATGGCTTCTAAACAAATTAAACATTTTAGCCTGCAACAACTGAAGTAAAATCAGTGTATCAAAAGCAAAACTGTTGTTCAGTCTTCATCAGTCATTAGCATATGTTCTAAAAGTTGCACAAACAGAAAGTGTTTCTAAAAAAGGGACAAGATTGCACTTCACCCAGTTTGGAAGTGAGAGTTGAGTGCATCTGAAGCATGATGCATTACCATGAAAAACAAAGTTTCCAAGCATAAAAAATTTGTTATCTATGACTTCAAAAGGAAGAGCAACCATATACATGGCTTTAGGAATGTACTATACTAAATCACCAGGAATTACAGCCTTATCTTGTATGATACACCAGGTGAGATGAATACAGAAGTTAAAGATTAGTGGAACATACTTTGAAAACAGGATATGTTGCATTGAAATGCTGATGGTTTTTTTCCATCTAATCCAGTGCAGGCAGGTCAGTGACCAGTTGATGCCTAGGTCTCCATTATCAAACACAAAACTGTATTTTACTGAAATTCCGGAAGGAACACACTAATATGTATCATAATAAATTTATTACAGAACTCAAAATATATGGGAAAATAGACTGTTTCTTTGTTTGTAATTTCCATCATAACACCTCCTGTGGAACAGCAAATTTTTTTCCAGAAGCAAAATATCATAGATACCTAAAGGAGTATAAACAAAAAGTAAATCTTTTGTGAGTATCATCCAGAAATACACTGGAAAATTTTATTATTGTCATAAAATTCTCAGAATATGTTGGACTGTGTATTGTCAAAGTTAAATACTCTAAATAGTTATATAAATTTGTGTGATAGTTTTGCAACTTACAATGAAAGAAATTAACTAAAATTTCAGATTTAGATGCATCAGGATTGTATGATCAACATTGATCTTTAATATAGGTGACAAAGAAAAAAAGGTAATACAATTGAGGGATAAATCAGCTGCATAAAGACTGAGATCTCCAGAAATTAGAATTTGATAACTGCATAGACAGAGGGCATTCCTGGGTCAGAAAAAGTAAAAATGGTCTGAAACAGTCAAAATGAGAACTGATGCCTGACCTTAACCATTTCTCTGAAGTGACAGACAGCATGGGGAACAGAAATTTTCAATTCTCTTGAAGTTGCAAAATAAAGCTTAAAACTATCAATTAGATAAAACAATGTAAAAGAAGACACACAGGATGGAAAATGTAGGTGGCATCAGTTGATAAACAGATAGTGAGGAACTTAAATGTTTTTTGTGGCAAACTTCTGTAACAAGAAACAACAGTGTATGCCCTAAGAAAAGTTCAAGGCAGGGCCACTTACAGTATTGGGGGTTCTGAGTGGATACAACCACCTTTAGATAACCTTCTAAGACCACAAAAGGAGTTCTAATAAGGGGATGAGGCATCTAAGTTAGGGCTAGGAAAAAGTGATGTTTATCTATTAGCTAGGAAGTATGTTGTAATGAATATGTATCATCCTGATGGAATGAATACCCTCTTGTAAAGTTTCATAATATGCATATGAGTAGAGAAAAATCCTCTAAATATGTCCAGCACTGTAAAAAAGCCTGCTTTCTAATACCTCAAATTATGTTAGAAAGTTTATTCTCCAGCCAATTTTGGTCTCAAAAGAAAAGGAAAACTACTTAAAATTAGAAAAACCTAAAA